TTGGCATTGTTTACACTCTTTTGGAACTTTTTCTACTTTTGGACTTCTTGGTTGACTCTAGCTCTCAGTTCTTGAATATTTTGGCAATTTTAGACGAACCTTAAAAACTATTTTTTATACCAATTGTGTTGGTCTATTCTGATGAACGTCCTTGACTTTTAATGTTAAAACTCTAATCGATCAAAGATACAAAATCTTTTTTTATTGGCTTACACAATGTAATCTAAATGTAATTGGCTTCTAAATAATGTTGTGGAAACCACAGGTTTTATTATAATAAACTGGTTCGTTGCATTTCGTTCACATTTCAATCACATATAGTATTTAGCTTTGATAACAGAATTCAGCAAAAACTTAATACACATGTAGTGCATTTAAAATATAATTTCTAAATGAATACAGACAGAAAGCAACATTCTTACTAATTTTGCAAACGGTATTAGATTTAATTTTCGCATAAGTAAGCATAGATGTCATTATTTTAATTTTATACTATATAAGGACTATTTCTTTTTAAAATCATGTTTAATAATTCAACATGGGATCCGTTTTTAGAAAGTTAAAAGTTCTAATGATCAGTATTCTATTAGAGGCTTTAAAATATCCTCAATATTTATGAAAGAAATATCTTAAATCAAATATGAAAGTATAATTTTTTTTTGTACAAACTAAAAATGAAAAAAAAAAGATCACAAATATAATGTTCTTACCTTTTGCTGAATTAAATATTATTATTAATGATACCAGCCCTAGAAACCCACATGGAGGCTTCATCCTTTTAATGAACAAAATGTCCTTCTTTTGCAACCATTTTAGGGATTTGAATTTCATGTTCTTATTTATAACCACGTCAATGTTCCTTATCAAACCGAGATCAAGCCAAGTTTATTTTTTTTTCACATATGCTGAATAAATCTACTTCCGTTTTGTAAATTGCTTTTTCAACGTAGATACAGTATTCTTTTTCATATACCCGACAGAATATATAATGATTGTTTTGAACAATATTATATCGGATTAATACCTTCATTACTTAACACGTCGCAAAATCATTTAAATATTTTTCTAACGAATCCTTCCACTGCAAACAATATTGTTTCTGGGCTTTAAATGTAGTATTTTAAGAATAGTAAATAGTATGCAAAACACACGATGTATATTCTTTTAGACAGAACTTTAAACAGTTAATGTGTCTTGTTAATCCCCAGAGGACATTAAATTTTTTATCAAATAGACAGGAGGGCCAGGATTAATCATATTAATATGCAAGCATCCTCGGGTAGTGCAGATTCAAGTTTCTTAAAATTTTGGTGGGTAGGGTTAACATAACAAAAAGGTTTTGTCTGTGGTGAGAAACCGTGATAAGCGATATGTAAGATTTAAAATGATTATAACTTATTGTCAAAGGTTAGGTGGCAGAGGATAGTTTCGGATAAAGATTAGTGAAATAGGGAAACATAAGCTTTGAATGAATATTTCAAGCGTTTTTATTTCTAGAACAATTCATGTGTGCATTAAGAGTCACAACTACATTTCAAGGGATATGAAATGGAAACACGAAATTAAAACCAAAAACCACTCATCCGGGATTTCCTAAAAGCGGTGTTGCTTCATAGGATGTATTGTAGCTTGGAAGGAAGTTTGTTGACCCAAAAGGTTTATACAGGCGTTGTTTTGTATTTTATTTGGTAGCGCAAGACATTAGCACTGGCCAGATTCCAAGCTGCCGGGGATACGGTGAAATAGTGAAACTTTAAACATTAAAAGTATTAATTTTCACAAAATTTTGAGACTATCACCATATATTCATTTGGGCTCAATATATAAGTTGTGCACGTTTATTCCTAAAAACCTCAAATTCCTCAAGGGACTAGAACATGTTTTTTTCTACATGTAGAGAAAATTAAAAAAAAATTCAAATGCACACTTCACAATCAGCTCAATATTAAGGAAAACGTAAACCAAACGTTTTAATTGCAGAAAAAAAACTGTCCTCTGCCACCTTAGGGATGAGCCAATAAACAACCCGATCAAAGGTGTCTGAAGTGAAATAGAGATAACGAACAGTAATCAAGCATAAAAGTCCACTGAAGCAATACAAATCGTGAGCAAAGCAAACATCAGAGGTGGGATCAGGTACTATGGAGGAGTAAGCGTCCCCTACCGACGGGTCACAGCCGCCGTGTGCTCTCATGATCGGACAAACGAAAAAATCCGTAGTCAATTTAATGTGTAAATAATGGCCTAACAATTAGCATGAAAAATGTCAGTCAGCATTCAACTTGATGATAGGTTATATTTGCTGACAAGGTCATTGTATCGACCATAGAATTTGCAAAATATTGAATTCAAACGAGACTGTTGATATCCTTTTTTCATCACCTTGTTTGTCGATAGCTTGCCTCGTTTTAGAAATCGTTCGTATAGAGTATGCTTTTGCATATCGAATCAACTGGGAGACATAAATATCACTGTCTGGGGTCAGATAACATGCTGAGTCAAGGATGAAACGTCCCAATCTTTATCTGCAGGTATAAGTGTCTGGGGGTAAAAGAACCTGTTGTGACAAGATTAGGACCGAGTCAATGAAAAGACACTTTCCTTTGTAAATTATGAAGTAAAAGGTTTTAATACATTTTTAACAGTGAAATACTGTGATTCATTTATTGAATAAAAGTGATTTCTGTCACAGTGTGAAAGGATTACCATGGAAGTGAAAAATAATTTCTGGTCTATCATAAGATAGAGATAGTAACTAAAACCATCTTAATGGAGATTAAAACTGCCAATTTCTTCCCAAATATGTTGCTTAAATCCATGTTACAATGTTTTCAATCTCACAATTGCTAAGCTATGGCGTCTCAACCTCTCAACTTTGACGTCATAGCCCGTGACATCCAACTACAAAACATCGAATATCCGCTATGTACTGATATAGATTCGTAGGACAGCGAAAGAAAAAAAATAAACCTATAAAATTTCTACACGGAAAAGTAATCAAATATTATCAGTCATAGGACTCAATACTTAAAGAATTAAATTCATTGGAGTTCATGCGATGGCCAAGTGGTGGTATGTTGACTTTGGGAGAAGGACTGGGAGTAGAGAATATATTAACATTCCGTAAACTAAGGATTGCGGACTTCTTCTTTAACATGGAAACAACTATTGTATTATATCCATTATTTTGAATCTTTACTGGTGGCATGGCTTTCTTTGTCGGAACAGAAACTTCAGGATCCCTCGATATATTGATTGTAGAAACGACAGAACCCCTTCGCCTGGCAAGAATAAAATATTATTAAAGCAGTGTTTTCATTCGATTCAAAAGATATGTATATTTCTAAATAAATATACTAATACATACCCTTTCAATTTTTTAAAGGCAACTATGATTGTCGTCACAACCAAAAGCAATCCCACCGCGGTACCAACGATCAGAACAAGTTTATTTGCCTCTGTGAAAAATTAAGAAAAAAAGTTACCAATCATTAGAATCACACAGAGCTTAAAGTTACAGATTCATCTTGAACTAGTTAAGAGGAATTTATTTCGAAACATTTATTTATTGTAATGTACAAGTATTACATACCAGTATCAATTGAGGAATCCGTAGACATTTGATTCTGGTGATAAAAATGAAAGGCAGAATAATTTAGACTACAAAATTGCAGTAAAAGCGTATCAAAACATTCCATAAACTACGCTTTCATAACGTAGTACTCACAAAAGAACGGCAAACGAGCGATCGAATGTCGCATTTGAAAAGTTGCCCATTAAATATTAGCATGGTCACGTGACTGCTAAACGTTTTCCCGTCATAGCTGAGTGATATATTCCATCCATGCACCATTGACTTCACACTTGCTGCTCTTCTTCGCCGTAGTGACCCTGGAGGTGTAGGTATTTCTGCGGAGATCTTGTTGTAGTTGTAGTAAATTGTGCTTTCTATTTTGATGTAATTAGTTTTCTGGACGTCATTCCTCTTTACCTGTAAATAGATAATACATGTAAATCATAAGTTAATTAAACAAGATGTGTATCACACATCAGTGTAACACTGATGTCCCCGTATAGCAGCTTATGGCAAAGGTTAAACTTTCTCAAATGCAATTCAAACTCAAAGGTCAAATTCAAAAGATCAAAAATGAGACCCAAAGAAAGGACCTGTGTCAATGGATATACCTGGTAAATATGAAAGCTCAAAAGTTATGGTCAAGGTTAATATTTTCTAAAAGTGGGTCAAACTCCAAGGTCAGGGTCAATAGGTCAAAATTAATGGTATGCAGGTGAACAATTTGTCAAAAGAAATACACATGCAAAATATAAATGCCCTAGCACGAACTGTTCAAAAGTTAAAGCGAAGATTAACGTTTTTCAAAAGTAGGTCAAACTTCATGGTCAAGATGAAAAGGTCAAAATTAATGCAGTATTGCAAAGAAGGACTTGTTACAAGGAATACACCTATAAAATTCGAAAGACCTAGTACTAACTGTTCAAAAGTTGAAGGGTTTTTTTAAGTGGTTCAATCTCCAGGGCCAAGATCAAAAGGTCAAAAATATTTACACCCATGGTAAGGTCACAGTAAATACACATGTGAAAAATGAGAGCCCTAGCACCAACTGTTCCAAAGTTATAGCCAAGGTTAAAGTTGGGTAAATATTTGCAAAAGTTGGTAAAACTCCAAGGTCAAGGTCAAGAGGTCAAATATGTTGGTATATATTGGTACCCAAGGGAAGATCTTGTCACAAGGAATACACGTGAAATATGAAAGCCATAGCTTTAACCAATCAAAAGTTATGGACAAAGTTGAAATTTTTGCGGACAAACAGACAGACAGACAAAGACAGACAAACAGACAGACAGACAGACTGAGGGACAGGGCAAAAACTATAAACCCCCGAATCTTCTATTACTGGGGCATAAAAAATACATGTTAGAGTTTTTGAAATGTATTCCTGGTATTCTTACCTGAAAGTATTCAAACTTTGCGGTAACATTCTCCACGTCAAAAAATCCCATGATGTTCGTTTTGAGACACTCCCTGGAACTGATATCACACAATCCATTCAATGGTAGGAAAAAATCTTTTGGGGGAACAGTGAGTTTTCCAGAACAATCGGAACCAAGAAAACCATCAAAACACGAACACGTGGCTAAAACAAAAATCATAAAATAAGTTTACCACTACATTACAGACCGTTACCAGCTTATTCTTTTCGTATTTATAAGAAATGCTGCTATTTTAAAAATAATATGGTGCATATTTATTGAGAGTAGACTAAAAACCAAAATCCCGAAATAAGATAGATCGTTACCTAAGTATTTCCTCTCTCTCTCTCTCTCTCTATATATATATATATATATATTCTATTCATAGTGGATTCTCAGATAGAAAATACCATTCACGCATTGTCCATTTCCGGAACAGTTGCCAGGACATAAAAATGATGAAATATAATCAAAGAGAGTCAATCCATTGGTTTCAGACGATTGGTTTACGTAAAAAACTTCGTTTCTCGTTGCTTCTGTCAGACAAGAACCTTTCAGTGTATCTAAAGTGTCTTGTATGAAAGTCGTATTTCCAGAAATCTTAAATGTAATGAAAATGTCATAGAAAACTAACATAATTATGTAAATGTCATTTATAAAACAACCCCTCCTTATTTAAAATTTCAAAATTCACAGATTCCTAAATTATACACTATTTTCATTACAACATAAATTTATACCTTTATATCTGCGATACATTCATCAAGAAAGTTTACTTTACTGATGTTGACCAGTCTGTTACAAACATCTACAGCGGGGTCAAGGTCAAATTGTTTCGAACAGAATTTTATCGCCGATGTTTCATTCCAGCCATTTATCCACTTTGCAACCTTTAAAATATGAACGAAACGCATAGATTGTTTAATATATAAAAGATTTCAGTGACTTTTTTCGTCTTGATATGTAAAATGTATGTGTATCAAAATAAATATTTTGTAAAATGTATGTGTATTAAGATAATTGTTTGCCATTTGGACAAATATATGTACCTCTATAACAGCAGATTCGTTGTAATCTGTATCGTATGTTAATTCACTTTCTATATCCACATTATCTGTATCGTCTGTTGACCTTCTTTTGCGATCATCTGAACATGAATTCAACTTTAGAACAGAGTTACCTCCCTCGCATAATTGACTTGGTGACGTCATATTACAATGAACTGCATTTGGTAAGGAAAACTGGTAAGTATCTACTGGTCCACTCTGAGCGCATGTGCAGTAAGTATCTCCAGCTCTATACCTTAAATGTCACATAATTGATCAGGCATATTTAAGAAAAAAACCTGTTATCCTTCCTAAAATTCAAAACCACTATTAAATACGTACATCCATGATGTGCCCAGATAAAATGACGAGGACATTGAAAATAAACTGTTATTAGAATCCATTGAAATTCTGCAAAAGAGAAACATCTCTATAAACATCAGAGTGAAATATACCAAAGCAATTCTGTTAACATAAAAAGAAATTGTTCTACCTCCATGACAGTGCGAATGTGTTGGGGTCAGTGGGATGGCTACCGTCTTTTGGGATGAAGTCATCAGATGTATCGCCATTAGTAAATCCACACAAACCTAGGGACGACTCAATGTCTGACACAGAAGCTCGGATCCTCACACTCCCGATAAAGTTATTCCAAGATGAGATGTAGAAAGAAACTTGTGTTCCAGATGGGAAGGTCACCTTTTAGTTTCAAAGGCCAAAATTTAATTTCTTTAAATAACTTTTAACGCGCTATTTGATTGGATAGAAAAGAAATGAATGCATACGTGTATCCATCATAATATTTACGCCTACCTCAGAATATGATCTGCCACTAAAAAGTACCATTCCACTTAATGTTATATTTAAAATTTTTGAATAACATTTTTGAGAGTAAAACGTCTTATTTTTTTTCTTAATGAGAGAGAATTAAATCATGAGGAATGAAAAAAAATTAAGTTACGCTCGTAAAGGTTGGTTTGGAACGGCTAAGGCTTTTTGTTTTTAAGTAAAACGCTTCTAGGTTTACGAGATGTAAACTGTCCTTACACATGATGTACTCAAGGAACTTGTAACTATTCATTATTAAGGGATTCCAATTTAAGACGAGTAAGCAGAATTTCAGCCATTTTTAAAAATAATTAAAAAAAATTGAGGCTTTAGTACATGCAATATAAAGAAATATTTTCTTTACTTACAGTGTAATGCTTTCCAGATTTCACAATTTGTAGGTCAGCAGCTTCACAAAGGTACTCTTTTTCATATGGAACTGCGAGCATTTTGGTGTTCTGTACCGAAATTATTTCACAGGTCCTGACGATGTAATAGCTAAATCCATTTCTGACTGCTACTCCACAGTTGCATGTTGCGCGCCTTGGGACACATTCAGAATAAATAACATGAACCTGAAATGATTAAAGATGGGATCTGTTTTCAGTGGTTAATTACATTCATAAGAAACAACGTCAGAGTAGGTACCTGCTTAAAACTATTATAAATTATAGAGAACAACAACATTCTGAATTGAATCACGGATACAATAACGAAATTTAAGAATGTTCTAGAGGCATTTCGTGTTTTACGATTTTATAAAGAATAAAAGCATGTAATAAAAATAATATTCTTTGTAGATTACCGCATATGGTAATGTTTTGTGCTGATATAAAACAAATATTCCTGTTCTCTGGTTTTCCCAGGGCAGTCCATCAAATGTCGTCATATGTGGATCATTTGATGATATACACTGACGACCGGTCACCAATATATCCCGGTCAACTACTTTCACCTACAAGAGATTATTATAATGGGCAAAAACATTTACAAAAACATTGAAATGTCAGCATACAAAAAGGTCCATGTATTAATGAAAGAAATAGAATACCTCTATTCCCCCAATATTGAGATTGTCCCATATTCCCAACGGATCCATGGGATTCCTTGTTGACGCTATGTGTAGATATGTAGTCCTGTAATTGTAGTTAATCATGCCATCTACATAACCTGTCACATTTATATGTACACTTCTGTTCCCCCAGTCTCTAAAGTTAAACGTCACCCCACAGGGCTGGTTAGCCATGGCTATCCCATTGCTAGCCATCCCATTCCTACAGCTATCCTCTAAAGGTGTCCACACAAAGAAGTAATACGTACAAAACGCCTCTCGCATTTCTTTACTTAACGATAATGGACAACTGAATGGTATGGTGCTGGTGAGTTTAATCTGTGACCTGACACCCTCCATGACGTAGTATTTATTTTGTTCTGGCTAGCATGCAACAAAAATTAATTATTTTACAGATCATGTTTTGCAAAACTGAATGCCAATTGAACATGATTTGAAAGAAAGTCACCGAAACTATTCACCAAAACATGATTTAAAATTTAAAGTTATAAAAGTTACATAATGTGTGTACCATAATTCCGGCATAAAAATTTGGGCTCCTTTGAAATGAACCAGAGACAGATGCTGATGGATCGTATGCTCGTACGGCACATGCAACCTAAGCAATATGTATACCAGGTGAACAACTGTCGAATCAAAATATGTAAAAAAAAAAAAAAAAGTTAAAATGATCTCTGACTTCTTCAACATTGTTATCCTCATACTTTGTTTCTATGTTCAAACATTCAAAAGTCAGTGGAATGCAGAAGTTTCTTTATTGTTTAACGTCACTTTCGAGAATTTTTTACTCATAAGCATATGGAGACGCCACCACTTGCCGGTGGAGAGCTGCAAATTTTGACCTATACTCGGCACTTGGGGCCATTGAGTAGTAAGGGATCTTTTTCGTGCCAGCACCTACTGCGACACGGGACCTCGGTTTATACGGTCTCATCCGAAGGACCGGTCTCCACGTCCCACAGTGGGATTTGAACCTGCGACGTAAGGATCTACTCCTTACTCCGCGACTCTAAAGTAAATGCTACGGAATGCAGACGTACTTCTTTTCGCCATTTCATGGAATTTGGATAGATATTACAATGTTAATCGTGATACTTCTGAAAGTAAAATACTTATAAAAGTTCTAGTAAACGACAGAATCCCTCAATGTTTTCCTTAAGAATGCTAGATCCAGACAAAATTACCTCGAAATTAAGAGAATAGTTTCCTGTCCAGTTAGAGGGTCTTAGAGCTGTAGAATTTAGTTCAGAAAACGATAAAGCGTTTGATGCTGCCCAAGTCAATTCATTGTCATTGATAAACCACGACACGTCATAAATGATGTCACCTACTAGAGGTGGAAACGTACACAAAAACACTGGTTCCAGGTAACCACCGTCCTTTGATTCCATCAAGACTGGTTGAACCTCTGAGTATGTTTTTAAAAGACTATCTGTAAAGTGTAAATATGTAGTAGATTTTATGCTAGAGAGAGAGAGAGAGAGAGAGAGAGAGAGAGAGAGAGAGAGTTCTATGCTCCATACTTCTTATGACAAAAGTTTGATTTTCACTGGTTTTGACCACATGTAAAAGAATATTAAATGATTTTTAAAAAAAAGGTTTGTAAATATGAAGTAGACTTTGATTGTGTTTAATTACCTTATCCGAATATGTGTGTGTGTGTGTGAATGTGTGTGTGTTGTGTTGTGTAGGTGTGTGTGTGTGCGTGTGTTAGGAAGAGAGATATTTTACCTTTACTTGTAACAGGTGTAGTTTGACTTTCAAATGTTTCTGCCACAGCTAAAAAAGTAGAAAATAAAAGATATTCTTTAATTATGAAGTAATTTTATTTTCAAAAATGTGTATGTCCTGTTAGAAGAAAACTTGAGTCTCACCCAAGCAAAAATCAGCATTCTCTTTCTTCATGTAGTATTCCATATTGAAAAAAGTATAAAGGTAAAAATTTCCACAGTTAAATATCCCCAGTAGACCAGATGGAATCAAATCTACCAATTTCTTCTTATTTGTAGTAGGCATAGTATCTAAAATAGAAAAAAAGAACAATTAGTTAAGGTTTGACAATATCTCTCGTCACGATAACTCAGTCGGTAGAGCGCTCGCTCTGTGATTGGAAGGTCTTGGTTCAGGTCCCCTAAGTTGAGGAAAAATAGTTAGCATCTGTTCATAGCTAAAACGCTCAGCATTTTGAAATACAAGTTGCAGGTCTTTCGAATGAAACCTCAATCCGGGGACCCTACTCACGACAGGCGTTAGCACAATTAGAATCCCTCAGTGCTTAATGGCCATGAGGTCTAGATTGGAAGCCCTTCACTGGCATACCCTGACGTCTCATGCGAGTAAAATAACCTTCCAGAGAACATAGATCAGGAATCAATCAATGAAATATAGAGATAACGTACATTAATCAAGTTCAAATGTCCATTAAAACAATACAAATCGGGAGCAGAGTATACGGACCTCTAAAAGCATCAGAGGTGGGATCAGGTACCATGGAGGAATAAGCACCCCCGGTCACACACGCCGTGTGCTCTTAGTCATGATCGAGTAAACGGAAAAAGTGAGTAAAAATGGCCTTACAATTAGTATGAAAAGCATCAGTCAGCATTAATGATAGATGCTATTTGCTGACAAGGTCATTTTATCGACCATAGAACTTGTAAAATTTTGACTTAAAACGAGACTGATATCCTTGTTTCATCAACTTGTTTGTCAATAACAGCCAATAAAAAAACTTGTTTGTAAATAGCTTGTCTCGTTTTAGTAATTATTCTTAATTATTCTTAGCTTAACCTTGCGTATCGAATGAACTGGGATACATAAACTCCATATGCAGGTGATAAGGGTATATGACATAAATAAGGGAAGTTGGTGATAGAAAAATTAAAGTAATCACATTAATTATAAAGTTTTGCTGTTTGGATACTATTAACATATTTTCTAGTAAAATATCCAAGTATGAAACAGATGTGTCAGACTCTGTGGTATCTTTTATTTCAAGTTTACTGGGATATATCGAGTCGACATATGAATGGAAGTAACTATTGTTAATTGATAATACGTCGTCAATATGTCTAAATGTCGAGTTGAAGTTACAGTAAGTCAATCATTCACACACAGACACACACACTTGACAAATACCATTGATATAAAGCGATCCAGGACAAGAACAAGGCTTTGTTGACAACAATACAGAACTTCCGTTTGAGGAGACCAGTTTAAGATCATAAGTTATATACACTCGATAAATAGCTTTAATATCCTCCATTGTAAGACAAGCCTTGTTGTCAGGAACTGTGTATTTTGTAAAGGTGTGGCAGCTTGATTCGCCGATAAAAACTTCTGAAAAAATCATACTTATATCATAAGAAATACTTGTAAAGATTAGAATATTAAAAAAAAATACAAGTTATAATGTATCAGAAAATTTCTTTTGGTATAGTGTCTCTTTTTCGTAACATTTTTTCTTAAATAAATATTTAAGTTTTTTGTTTATGAATATTTTTCTTTATTTCTAGGTACACGTAAACTATCCTATCGCTACACAATACTTGAATATGTAAAACCTAAATATCTGGCGAACATTTGTAGTATTGTTCTGTTAAGCGATATCTTTGTATGATTAAAAAATGTTTCTGTGTTTGGCTGAGGGTAATTGTTGTGAACATGAATATGGTTCATAGACAGTTTAAATTATCAAATTGGTCAGGTATTGTATATGCGTGTGCACAATACTCAAGGATTCATTTAAATGTCTTTGGTTTATTATTACCAAAAGTTATAAAAGAATGACCTTGCAAATCTTTCCTTCTTTTGCTTTAATTAAGAGACCCCTAGGACAAGGAAGTTTAAGAAAAAATAATTTATTATAAGTCTTACTCACTGAAAATACCAAAAATGTTAAATTTCAAGTTGAATAATTATAATAGTTAATAAAAATTAATGCACATTTTTAAATTCAGAATACAATAAATTATTTGTATTTGAAAAGAGATTTCAAAGTATAATAATCGAACTATATATTTATATATTCATATTACAAGGTTCTATTTTACAATATTTAAAGCAAGAATATTACCGATGTCATTTGAATTACTTTGTAAGGATTGTAAATATTCGGCTCACAGTCTTAATATTCAGTTTTATTTTAGGAACATTAATAGTCTTATCGTAGCAAGACGGAAAAATAATCTATAAAACTATTAAGGAAAAATAATCTATTAAACTATAAAGATGTCATAAAAATCCCCAAATTTGGAAAAAAAAAAAAAAAAAAAAAAAAAAAAAAAAAAGGAGAACATGTTGTTAAATGTTCTTACGTTATATTTATTCAACCATAAGTTACTTTAAAAAAATAAATATTTTGCCTATCACTCTAATAAAATCAACATAAAAATAAATCAAAATGCAAAGATCAAAGAGACTCACCATTTGTTGAATTAAATATTACAATCAACAAAAACAGTAAAAAATGTATGAACTGAAACTTCATATGTCCAATGTTTGCGCAGTTCTCCATTGTTTTCTCTCCGAATTTTGTCTCATATTTTAATTTCACTTCATTCTGAAAGTATCACAAAATCACACTGTATATTCTACCTAGGCAAAGTTGTTCTTTTCAGTATGTGAAAATCAGCAGCCTTTTTACAAAAAATTCCATAGCTTCATAGTGCATCTAGAGCTCATTAGCTTTAAATGATATTTTTCTTTCGTCTTGTTACTTCTCATTATATTTTGGAAACTCTTTAAAAATCAACTCTCAAGACCAGTACCTTTAACGAGTAATGAACTGCATATATTTTAAAAATCTAAACACACTGGATTTCTAATTTTTCAAATTTTACACTTCAATTATATGCATTTCAATGTACATTTATGATTCAGAACTATTTTTTGGCACACAGTAAATATTATGGACATGTTACAATTATTCAATAAATATAGATAAGTAAAGTAAGTAATGAAAAGGTAAAGATAAAGATCGAACTAAAAAATACCCCTACAAACAACGCAAATTTGTGAACAAAGCATAAAACATTGACCCGTGTAAATTCCAGAGGTGGGATTAGGTGCCTAGGAGGAGTAAGTATCCCGTGTCGAGCGGTCACACCCTCCATGAGCTATATGTATGGATCAGGTAGATGCATTAATCCATGGTCAAATTTTGTATAAAAACAAAGGCCTAACAAATGATAGGTTGTATTTGCTTACAAGATCATTATAACGACCATAGATTTTATGAAAAGCTTACTTAAAACGAGATCGTTAAAATATCTGAAATATCAACTTATTGTCAATAGCCTGCTTCGTTTAAACATTGATCGTACTCAGAACATGCTCTTGAGTATCGAATAAGTTGGTAGATGAAATATATGGAGATAACGAACAGTATTCAAGCTCAAAAGTCCAGTAAACATCACAAAATAGGATAAGAGCAAACACGGACCTCCAAAACATCGGAGGTGGGATCAGGTGCCATGGAGGAGTGGGCATCCCCTGCCGACCGGTCACACCCGCCGTTTGCTCCTTGTCATGATCGGGAAATAATGGAAAAATCCGTTGACAATTCAGTGTGTAAATAATGGCCTAACAATTAGTATGAAAAACATCAGTCAGCATTTGACTCAATGATAAATTGTATTTGCTGACAAGGTCATTGTATCGACCATAGGAGTTACGAAATGATGACTTTAAACGAGACTGCTGATATTCTTGTTTCATCAACTTATTTGTCAATAATTTACCTCGTTTTAGAAATTGTACATACGTAGAGCATGCTCTTGCGTATAGAATCAACTGAGAGATATAAACCCCGCGTATGCAGGTGATGAAGGTATATTGCTGCATAAGTAAGGGAAGTTGACGATTGAAAAGTTAAAGTCATCACGTTTATCATAAAGCTTGGTTGTTAGATTACCATTAACGTCTTTTTCAAGTAAAATATCCAGATATAAAACAGATGTGTCAGACTCTGTAGTATCTTTTATCTCAAGCTCACTGGGATCTATCATATCGAGATAAGAATGGAAATAACCATTGTTAATTGACAATACGTCGTCGATATATCTAAATGTGAAGTTGAAGGCCAAAGCAAGTGTTTTCTTCTTATCACGTATACGATTTTGGACAAATTCTGCTTCATATGAATACAAAAAAGGTCTGCTAATAACGGGGCACAATTGGTACCCAATAGATTGTTGGAAGACCTGGTCTCCAAAAACCACATAGATATTGTCAATCAGAAACTCAAGCATCTTTTTAATGTCAACTTCAGAGTACTTGTGTGTACAATCAGAATGTTTTTTAACAAAATAATTTTGCAAATGACCAATGACAAGGTAAGTAAATTTACGAGTTCCATTTTTATTGAAAAAGCAGCTGTCAAGGATATCAA